GGATTGAATAATCGCTAGTTTTAGTTTGTCGCTTGTGTTTGCTCACGATGGCCTGTAGAATCTGCTTTGCCTTAAAGAACTGTCTTGAGTGTCCAAATACCATTGGAACTTGTTGTTGCTGCTGTTGCCCCTGCTGTTGCCCATGTTCTCAGGAGGAGCAACGTTCTGCCAATGAATGCATTCTCAAGGTAACCTGCAAATCCGGTGAACCAGCAGTCAAACAACCGAATAAGAAGCCCAAAAAGGCTAAAACAGTCAAGAAAATTAAGCCTGAACCAGTTCAAGAGGTATACATCTGCCATCCTGTACAATGTATCTGTTTTCAGTAGGACCTCTGAAGCAACTTCGGCGAAATAATACTTTGGCTTACCATTTACAGTATAAACCGATAACAATATCATAGCTCTTTCAATGATCTTTCGTTTATTAAAATATATTTGTAAAATATGTTTCTTTTTATTTTTATATTTACCTACCTATTGATGCGTTTTATATTGGAAGCACAATTTGTGACATCGACATTCTTTTGCTTATTACCTTTAGTGGAACTGGATGCTTTAAGTACACATATTTTAATTCTCCGCTTTTACGCTCAGCACTTGGATGCAATACATGTTTTGGGATCTTATGGTTGCTCATTTTGGGTTTGTGCAAAAGGACTTAGTTATACATGATTGCGTAGCAGAACAAGAGTCCTTCACATTTGCAAATTAATTTTGTCCCTCAAACGCTGACTTTCATTAAGAATTTTAGCGGTATTTTGACTCCAAGCTTTAAATGCTAGCAGGAATGTTGGTTTTTCTCAAAATTGAGGTATTTTTCTGTTTATCCTGGGCTTTCGACTGGATCTTAGAAGTAGCTAAAGGCTTGCCTACATGCCTTGCACTAAACTCAACCTGGAAGCTTTGGGCATCCACCTCGAGCTCTTTTTATAGGCACAAATTTATCCAACATTTGTTGATAAGTTTTGTTTCGGAAAAACCGAGATTTTTTTCGATCCGATTACTGCTTGTCCTTTTGGCCTTTTCACACAAAGCTTTGGTATTACACTGTATTCGCCAAATGCCGTTGCATTACCTCACGCTGACCTCATCAATCTCGGGGTGTCATTAGAATAGGATCGTAGGGTGGCAAACGAGCCCATCAAAGTGTCATTCTAACTCTTGCTCCATCTGTATCAAATTAACGCTGACGTTTGCCGATATTAAAGATTCAAACTCTAGGCGGTCACCATGATGATTGGCAGTAAGAGGGATTTTTGGCTCCCAGACGCACATTCTGAAGTTCGTTTATCTGTCATTGTTTAGTATCCGAATTGATTTGGCATAGGACCTTAAAATACAACATCGTAGTGATACATCAACAAATTGGAGGGGAAGTTGACCCTGTTTTAGATTAGTTACACATCATACGGTCATCTGGAAGCACATTAGGTTCTGCAGTTCCTGTAAATTTATGCATTTCTCTGATTGACGCATCTGGAAGTGATCCGAGGCTGAAATAATCCTAAGTTCGTCACCTTTGCATCTTTTAACTCCTCCTCATTCCTTACTGCGTGCCCAGATGTATCCATTGCCTTTTTCTGGGTGACAAGTAGGTCATAAATATCTCAAAGGTATTCATGTTGCACCTCCATGGACCATTCGAGGACACAATCGCCAACAAGTTACATTTTCTCCTCACAGATACAAAAAACCTTGTTCTGCCAATCACAAACCCAAAGTTGTCATTACGTATCACCTCATTTCGTGTCACATTTCATGCCACACGACCCCAATTTCTCACTCGCAACTGTACACCATGGGCAAAAAAATAAATCACATTCTGCTCCCAACTAGCTCTTACTGTTGTCACCCAAAGAGTCAACTTGGGCCACCCAGTTGGCCTCTCCAATGACGTTTTATTGCATCTTCAAGGGAAGCAATCAAAATGAAGCAGACTGAGGGGCACTATGTGGTCCCTCGAAATGAACCCTGATGGGGAGGAAGAGAGGGAGAGAGAATACACGCATTACTGAGTCTACTGGGGCGATCGAGTCGGAGGTGGGTCAATGAGGGAGCCTCTGAGGGGACCTCTACAAGGACGAAGCGTTAAACAATCCCTCAGTGCCCTCCAAATAAGCCAAACACTCGTCCTAGTCGACTTTAATAATTAAAAAAAATTGACATTGATAACATTTTGAAAATGAGACACTTATGGTACAATTAAATTGTCTTATCTTAAGATTGACGCTAATTTCCCACAAATTTAATCACATTAAAATGAGCCTTACGAGTGCACAGTGATATGATGTGAGGTGATACACCCTGACAGGACTGTGATTTCCTTCCATTTTTTCTCCCCTCAGCATTAAGCTTATTAATGAAACACGAAATCAGAAGTTGTTTCGGTTTTGCAAGCCTTTAAAGCCTTGCTGAAGGCTCCTTCTCCCCAAACACCAGCTCAGGTGAAGGCAAATATTTTAACAACTGGAAGGCGTGCTCCTTGGATGGTCTCTCCCACAGCACTGAACGCACTATATGCTGACTCCTTGCCTTGAATTTTCCGTCGAAGCACATCCACGAGACGACCTCAAGGCCTCCTGTGCCTTGAGGATGGATGCACTATCAGCCCTCATGTGATGGGTCAGTGGCAATGGCAATTCCGCCTGTCAAACCTCATGAGGCTAGAGAGATTCGACTTGGCACCACATTTCGAAGTCACAGCTTGGAAGTGGGTGAAGTGACTTCCATTAGGAATGTCATTGCGTAACTCTGATGCCTGGACTGATGTAATAACCTGAGAGCAAATTGCGCTGTTTTGATGGATCAAGTGGTTTGCAGTCAATTACCTGCAATCTCAACCACTTTCGTTTCTCCAATTTTACCACTAAATTGAGGGAATGATTAGTAGTGAGTATCGTGATGAGGGTAATTAACTTAAGGTGCTCAATCGTGGTACAGTTTTTTGCAGTTGACGGTTGAAGCTCAGTTGATTAACAGGAGCCCTCCTTTAAGCCTAACGAATGAAGAATTCAAGTAAACCACCCTTCACGCCTACTTACACTCCAAACAAAGATGGAACACACTTGAGAAATAACAAAGGCTATTCTTTTTCTTACCTTCGAAGCTTACATTCTCTTACTGGCAGAGCTTGCAGTATTAAGCCTTTTGATGTCTGATTAGTTCCTGGTAAGATCCAAGAAACAGCGTTCTTCTGCGTGCTTGATCAGAATTTTATTAGAGGCATCAAAACTCCAATTACAACTGTTGTCCAGTTTTGGCGGAGAAGCGAATGCTTGACATCGAAACGCTCTGTGAACGGTGAGTGTGCAGTCAAGGTCTTTCAGTTAAGCTTTCATTTTTTAATTAATCAGCAAACAACCTCCTCACAACGATCCCACTAAATTGTAAAGTGAAAAGTAAAAAGTCAAATGGAAAGAGTGTCTTTTAAGTTTATCAAATTCTCTCAACACTTATGACAAACTTCAGCATCTTTGACACTGCTACTGATTAAGCTAATAAGTAGGCTGTTTGGATTCCGCACTTTAATGATGGTTATAACGTAAGTGAATTTAAAAATGCTAAAAAGATCAACATTCAATGCTATTTTTTCTCTGTTAAGTAAACGCCGAAACTATCTCGCATCAGTACAATTGCTGTGATGGATCATCATGGATGGACTCGGGCATCCCAAAACAGTGACAGCATCCGAGCCCTTGAAAAGTGATTAGTGCTGATTTTCATGCGCACTTCTCCACCTAAAGTACTAATCAAATGTTTACAAAGGGATGCGAAACAGCAATAACGGAAAGAATCGACATGCATGATAAAATTACCTCCACATAGTCCCAGTAGCCATGCAAAAGTACCATTTTACAACCCCATGCAGGAGTAATGATGTGTTGTTTACTCTTGTCAACTTGTCAATGGCTCTGTGTAAAAATAAACTCCGGCCTCACTTCGGAGGAGATGGACCATAAGGCGAGGAGGTGTAGGCTCCCTCGTAAAGCCATCTGGTAGAACAACAACCTTATTTCCTACCTAATGTCTGGCAAAATCGTCATTCCACTTCATTATTTCATTTTTTTGTGAGATAGAAATGTGAGGTGCATGGGAGAAAGGCGACCCACAACACTCGTCTCAAGCAGTCCCATGACCAAAACAAAGGGCACTAAAATGATCAATTTATGGTGTGATGGCCGTTAGTACTGTTGAAATTGTTTCACCAATTTCAGTTAGTGGCCTACAAGGTAAGCTTTGTGCGTAGGCGCTCCTCAACAAATGTGGGAACGGAGTGACTTATGCCGCAAGTGAACCCAAGTCAATCACGGTGAAGCGCCGCTTAGGTTTGACGAAGGAATTCGTTTGAAATTCGTATAGTTGAGATGAATATCCAAACACACCGCGAATAAGTGATACCTTGATTCGTTTGAATTCAGTGGTGCCCAATTCACCTTAGGTCATGCAATTAACTATGGGGCGTTGCTTTGGGGTTATGCTATTACCCCATCCGTTTCCAGCCCTCAACAAATAATGCTGGCGTGTAGTACTCTGACTCATTGCGAATCCAACTAGGACTGGGAACACCACAACAAGGTGTGATGATGAATCAACGCCCGTTTTCATATCATTCAACGACTAAAGGCTATCATCCTCCAACACAACTGAATCCTAGTTCTTCTACTAATTGCAAAATTGCGCATCAAGGCAACATCAAACATGTATAAACTCTGCCATTCGTCACTTGTTTTCAAAAAAAACACCAAAGTTTTAACTAGTACAGGATCTTCTAGCGTTTAATCATGGCAATAACCTCCTCAAGTCATTTGGAATGGAACAACATGCTGCCTTAATACCAAATTACCAGACAATGAAACAATCACTAAATGTGACCTTGAGGCTTTAATCTTATTGGCTAATTGTTCAGTGGCAAATATACTGTCACCGGAGCACACAATGCGGAATACCTCGGTAACTTCATTGACCTCATTTAGTGAAAAACCGAAATGCGTGTTGTGATTAAAATGACGCCCTCTCATGAGGGATCTCGGAAACAATCGAAGAGTCCGAAAGAAAGTCGGCATCAACGTTCGTCAGCCCAATCAAAGAGTCCCCAACCTCGTCGGGAAAGACATGTGAAATCACGATCGGCTTCACGGCCAAAGAGTGAAGAAAGGTGCCGACGTCAGCATAGGAAATCATCGCGTTCTCGTACGAGGAGTCGACCACGTACAAGGAGTCGACCACGTACAAAATCACGATTCTCCTCCTCTCATCCATCGACCAAAACCAAGAAGTGCGCCGACTCTTCTACCACCATTACCTTTTCGCCACCACCATCATCATCATCCTCTTCATCACGCACTTCTGCCTCCACCATTCGGGAAAATTTTCGGATAATTCGACGAGACAGAAGTCGTCCATATGCACGCCATCCAAGAAAGGCTAGTCACAGTGCTAAGCGATATCCTACACTGGTTGTGGAAGTGGATGAAGGAAAGGAAACTCGAGAACCCCGTCCACGTGGAGAACAGAAGAGACGAGTACGAGCCCCAAAATACGATCCAAATTCGGAATTTTGCATGCTCACTGAGGGCGAGAAAGTAGGACCAAGTTGTGACAACCATCTACCTCGAAGCGCAGGACATAAGCACCGAAACTAGAACAACGAAGGTGTTTCCTCTTCTCCTCCTCCTCAAAGGATGCAAATTTGTTCCCAATTTCTTTGTTCCAAATTTTGCATACTTCTTCAAAAAAGTAATGCATTTGGTTTGTTTGTTTGTTTTTCTTTTGGTTCTGGTTTATGAGAATTAGTGACAATGAAGTAGTTTTCCATACCGGAAGAGAGGGGGAGAAGGGGGCGATACAGGAACGGCACCGATGTGGGATTAACATTGAGTTGAGAAGGCACAACGGATCAAAATCGTGTCATTTTATTGTAGGACAATTAAATGTCATTACAATAATTTATGCGCATAACAATTAATTTTGATGATGTGTCTCCTAGAGACTCTGCCATTGCATCTCCCCTAGGCAACGTAATCTACGGACCGTGCCAATGACCGAATATACTGCCTCTTTGAGTTTTCAAGAAAGTCTCTGATCATTGCAATGTTGACAGTGGACAAAAATCCTGCCTTAAAGCCCAGCAGTCCCGAATTCGACTGCTGGATGGGGTGGAAGGTGTACAGGTGCTGTGAATGTAGGCATATGTGTGACCTCAATGAGAGGAGATGAGAAATGGTGTCCAACTTCGATGACTGCCACACCCCACTGGTCTGCAGGACAGTCATTAACAAACGATGCCATGACCGCAATCCACCTGCACAAGTGCCTTACGCCACCCTCCCCACTGTGCATGCGGAAAGAGATGTCAATTGAGTGAACTGGAGCCGCACCTGTCCCATCAACATCCACTTGGACACAACCCGCATAGATAGGAGGAACCGAGGTCACGTTTTCCCACCTCATTCCCATCGCTGGGTGCGTAACCGGTGATGACGAACGAGGGGACACCTCATGCAAAGCCACTCCATGACAAGATGTGAAAGTGTGGTGCAACATCCTCCCACCTTAGCGCTTTCGTTTAATCAGTTCGAGTTTGGAGGAATTTTCGTCTGGTGAATGGATGGAGCCTTTAGCTAAGATAAGCTCTGTCGTGCGCTGAAGCCTACAACCACATTCCACAGGTCTCAGCCAGAAGTTTCCAGACTGAGAGATTGTTGAGAGAGCTCAGTGACGCTGTTTTAGGGACTCGAATCCGATTTTTTCGGATCAACTCCATTGACACCATGCCAAATGCTGTCCTTCATAATCGACGCTCATCGACTTCATGGTCAATGGAATCGTAGAAGGGAATTCACCGACCCCAAAAGCCGCGTTAGCAACTTGTGGTTGTTAGTTAATAGCACCAGTTAGGTTGCAATGGCAAATACAGAGACCCAACACCCAGGACACAGGCGTGCTGTCACAAACTTCGCTTGTTTAACTCCCGCGTTCGGCGACCGGTCACTTAGACGTTTCGAAAAGTGATTTGACTTTACTCGTTCTGCAAAGTGTTCAGCCTCTCCCCTTTCAAGAATTGCCTACAAAATCTCAAACACTTTTGCCTTACCATTAAAATCTGGGCCCGCATTACCGAACAACACATCTTACTGCCTATTAAACTGCCTTTCTTTGGATTAAAAATCGCGTCGCAGTTAACCCCACAGAGGTAGAACTTAGCAACTGTAATTATCGCCTAGGTCTTGGTGAATTTGAGTTTGATAGGCTCACCACTTTGCCTGGAAATTTCATTCATTGTGGAGGCCAAATTAAATCAGCCTCAGGTGTCGCCTTCTTGAATGGATCCAAGGTCTTCAATGATGACACAGCTCGAACAAGACTAAATACTACATCAAGACGTTCCTCATGATTGGTGGATTGACTTTAACCAGGTTGGGATTGTATTTGGTAAGGCAATCAAGTGAAGCACCTCCAATTTCACTAATTTGTACTCCCTCATTGTAAGAAGAAGCATGTCGCCGTTACATGACGAATTCCGCAGAAGTTGTAACACAACTTGGGGATTGGATAAAACCCTCTAAACTACGCAATTAAACTCAATTCAAAGTAATTAGGCTAATAGAGAGAGAGGGAGGGAGAGAGAGAGAGAACAACCATGCGCATTCCAAAGGTGTGGTAGCAACAATGACCTGTGCCAACGTGGGAAGGATTTGCGACAAAGTATCTAACAAGGAGAATGCAGACTTCCCCTAGACGGCAGCCTAAAATTCTTCATGTCTTTCGCGATTGAGTGACAAATAAGAAGTAGCAAGAAAAAAACTCACTCCACTGTCAATTGTCATTATGCAGAGAAGTGTTCAAGTGAATCGTACGGTCGGTAAAGTGAGGCCCACCTACAGCGACGCGAGAAAAACAATGCAGTGAGCTTCATGTGTCCTCAATCCACTTGGTTGCACAATCAACGTCGCCATCAGACTTAACCAACCCCTACTTCAACCTCACACTTCGAAGCACTTCAACAACTTAGTCACTGTTTCAACTTTAATCGGTGTCACCGGCACATGGACCGACTTTCTTGTTATCTCAACACATTAAAAAATGGGGTAAAAAAGGAAGGGGAAGAAACCAGGCAACAAGAACCTTGCAACAAAACGTAAAACTAATTTTACCCGTAAACATATACTACAAACCTACCGGTGTCACTCTTTCCTTCCATCATCTGAAAGGTGACCGAAAAAACCCAATGGAGAGGTAAAAAAGGCGGCTTTTGAGGCGAGCTCACAAGCAAACGTACAAACACACAAACAAGCGGGCAAGTGATAGTATACGTATAGGATGAGCAGGAGTGACAGAGCAGTAACAGTCACACAAGTGAGGATGTATACAAGGAAGGATCAAAGGCGTCTGCACAAATAGGTAGGGTAGGCATATTTACATGACCACAAGTGGAAATAAGCGAAGATCTTCAGGGCTTTGGAGGGGATTTTTCACCTGTAGCATCGGTTTCGACCTCCTCCGTCTCGCCATGCACCGTAGCGACGACTACTTGACTGGCGCTCTGACTGACACTGGAGACGTCGTCAGCATCGGCGTCAGGCGGCGGAGGCGGAGCGGCTGCGCAGCTCGGCTGACCCTCAGGAGTAGGAAAGGCGTCCCAGTATTCGTCTGTTGTCGAGGCCTCTGCTCCACTTCGGTGCAATCGACGGCGCTCAGCCGCTCCTATCGCCTCTGTGGCCTCTTCACCGCTGGTCGACATCACTTCGTCCTCCGAGTCAAAGGCATCAGAGCCCTCTTCGTCGTCGTCATCGCCATCGTCCTCGTCACCTTCGACACAACTTCCGCGTTCCGGGTTCGGATTCGTGCTGACAGTGGCTGGCGGGGGCATTATGTGGGGCGGTGGAGGCTGGAACAAAGAGAATCTATGAGCAATATTTAAAACATCTTATCAACCTAAACTATGTAACTGAAATGCAATCAACTGATCATTTGGAGACAAAAAAGTGGTTACGATCAAGACCATTTCCCATGCATAATGTGGACTCAAAAAGTCCGCTACGGAAGGAATTTTGTGTAGGGCTAGCTAAAAATATAGGAACGGTGGCCTCATGGTATTCTGTTAGCGGTAACAGCCATCACTTAACTTCATCACAACTCAGTTTGAATGGTAAACATTTAAGGAGAGATAAACCTTCGGAAAGTTGTGATATAACACGGCTTTCTAAATGACACTGACCGGTACAAAGGCGTAGGGCGGAACGACAGGCACCGAAAAGTGAGTAAGACCTGGTGAGGTGGTAGAGGCAGCCCAAACACCACCCCCACCACCACCACCACCTCCAGATGCCGGCATTGGCTGCGATGGGTGGTGATGCGAAAGGCTCCAAGGAGATCGTTGTTGCTGTTGTATTAGTGGATGCAGCAGATGCGGTGGGGAGGCGACACCCGCAGACGCCGAGGCATCTAGATGGCAGACAACGTCTTGTCGAAAGCCTCTTATGGTTGCGCCTGTTGTTAATACTGTGTTTGTTGAACGAGGTTGATGGTGGAGATGGTGATGCTCGGCAAGAATACCCGGCTGACAGGCTTTTGGTGTGGAGTAGGGTGCAGCTGCTAGTGGTACCTCATAATGCGGCATCTGCTTCAATTAAAAGAGGAGGGGGCGCCGCATGAATGTATTTTTTATTACAATGGTTCAATGTTTGCTCAAAAGGCAGAGGCAAATGAAAGTTTGCAAGAAATTTACCACCAAATCTTGGACAGATTCCATGCTGACATTGCTAAAATCATTTAGTCAATTACAATAAAAAACACACACAAGTTACATTTCAGTGTGTCCACACGGCCCAGAAACAGTGTGATTCGAGCCTACCACCAACCGTTTACAGGCAAATACTGGCAAAATGTAAATGCATTTTACAAGAACATCTGGCAACCAAAATTAGTTTAAGAGCTAGTTGCAAGAATCACGCATTCGATATCTCATTATCCGTGGAGGGTATTGACGATATGTAAAGTTGATAAAAAAATAAACATGGCAGAGTAAAGTTACTATTCTGGACATTTAAAAATGCTCAGAAATTCAAATGCGGCTTCAGTAGATGCTTTCAAAGGCAATGTTTTGATGCAAGAGAAAAAGAGGAACTTACTGAGGTGGTAGAAAGGGTAGGAATGGGAGGCAGTAGACTAGACGCAGCACTATTTTGTGGAAGTCCACCCTGTTTCATGGCTGCCTGTGCAGCCGCTGTGGCTGCCATGATGGCAGCCATCATGACAGAATCTGGCGTCCTCTCTCCACCTCCGCCACAACTCGTCTCTGCCCCCACAGGTTGCTGTTGTTGTTGCTGTTGACCCATTAAATATGCCATCATCATTGACGTCGCAGCTATCAGCTGTTGTTGTTGCTGGTCGGACGACTGTGGTGGAGGAGGAGGAGGTGGAGGAGGAGGGTTTTCGTTAGCGGAGGCGGCAGCAGCTGACTGTGCCCAGTGCAATGCATCAATGAGAAGAAGACGAGTACGCCAGAGTTCACGCCATGTTGCACCTGCCTGCTCAGCGAGGAGTTGGAAGGAGTTGTATGACTCAGCACCCGATGAACTAGCCAGTGAGAGCCGGGAAGTTGTTCCACCTCGACGTGCCCAAGAGGTGGCCATAGAACCGCGTGGTGCGTGTCCAAAGCATTGTGAACCCCCGTCCATGACTTTTGGAACAAAGAACAGGCAGAGGGACGTGACACCGTGGAAAATAACAGTGGGGACATAAAACCTAAAAACAGCCAGAGACCCACTTTTTTTACTCCTCTCCAGCTCCATAGCAGCCGCAGCTGCGTAGAGACGAGAAAGTGATTCGATGGAGAGGTTTTGTTGACTACGACCACCAGGACCAACGCCACAGACGCGCTTCCCGTTGCTAGAATTTGTAGGCGAAGAAGCGGCGCGATGAAGAAGGAGGCTGTTCAAACTCCGACGCTCGCCACCACCACTGCCACCTGCAAGGCCGAGGGTGGAGTAAGACCGCGAGACGAGGCGTCGACGACCTTGGAAAAAGCATATTTTAATCAAACCCAGCTCGGCCTTGGAAAAATCAGGTAAAAATGTGAATAAACACCTCATCAACCTTAACGAAATACAACCATCACGATTTTATGCGATGTCAATGAGTTGTCATCTCAATTACTCATCAATTCCAAAAAGTGCTAAAAGGGAATGGGTTACCTAAGTAAGGTAATTTGCCCATACGCAGTCCAAGAAAGCTAGCTCCAAACCTACCTAAACCTTTGCTGGACCACATCCTGCGATACCGACTCCTACGAATTGGCCTTGCCTAGAGCGGAAGAAGATGCTTAGGCTAAGTGGCACAGGATTATAATAAGAGAACAAGTTGGTAGCGTAACTATTCTATAGACCATCGAACTTCATTAAAACAAAAATCGTACCAAATTACGTTCAAGAGTAGCCGCAACGTCCTCCTCCCTCTGAATGGTGGAGAAGGGATTAAAGAGGGCACCTCGGGCTGAAGATCTTGACTTGTGTCCATGATGAGCCGTGAAGAGAGATTGAGAGGAGGTGAGGGAGTTCGATTTGTGAATAGGTTTTGTAGCTGCCAACGCTACTGCTGTAGTCGCGGCTGCGTTACTACTGACAACAGAGGAGGTATTTCCACCAGCTCCGCGAAAGGCCAAAGCTGCGTTTGTTGCCCCGATGGAAGACATTACCCAACCTGAATTGAGTAGCAAGTAGAGACGAAATTTTGTTGCGTTGGTAAATTAAACTACGCAGTCCTGTAGACTTCAACAACAAATCAGCACCTCAAAACTTCTTGGAACACTTGAGTGCGTAAGTATCTCTACACTGCGTGGGGATTTGAACACTTAACGTCAATGCACCTTGAAACATCAAAACTCTCGAAGGTCACATGAATTGAAGAAAAGGGTACCAACAACTCTGACCCATCCACGCGACCAAACATGTACTCCATATCAATTCCAAACGCTCAAAAATAGCTTCTCTTGATTTGGATCCCCAGGAAATAGATGTAACCAATATTTCTCCTAGCTATTGAGGATCCAAAGGAGTCAAATAGTTACACAAAATGACCTAGTACTAACGGGGGAGCCCGAGAGCCGTCAGTATGAAACACTTCAGATCAAAGACAGCGTTGTTCCGGCCCAGAGATCATACCAAATACGTTGATTCACTGTCTTTCGGTCATTGGTTTTACTGTGTAGACAATGAGCTGCTCTCTAGCTAGCTTAGACAAACACGGATCAAGTTAATTTCGACACGGCAGGTCCTCCGACTTCTAAATCCTTAACAAAGTCGCCAAAAGGGCAATTTGGAAACAAGCTTCCGCGACCCCATACCGAGACCTACTTTCATCATTTGTGGATGAGGAGTAGCGTCGGTTGCATCCACAGGAGACATCTGAAGTGGCAACAGCCTTGGTTGCAACAATCCCGCTTCCGCCAGCCACAGTGATAGAGCCATTGTCTGCACTGACCTCCTTCTCCAGCGGCATAGGCTCGTAGTCATGAAAGAAAATGCCCGGATCCCACCAGGAAAACGTGGGGGGCAGATGGAAATTCGCAGATTTGTTGACAACCATTTGTGAAGAAGAAGAACGCTTACTTCCCATGGACTTTGTTGGACAGGCGGTGAGAAATGAAACAACTCTATAAAGTGGGGGAAAGCGCGTTCATAGTCAGCATGCGCCTGATAAATCCATTACAAATAAAAGATACAGCAACAAGTGTTGTTTAAGATGGCCGACATGGAACAGTTACAAACTAAGGCCTCAAGAATTACTTAAGAGAAGAAAGCGAGGGGCAACTTAACAGAGCATACTTGTTTACCATACTCTTTTCTGGTGCTGTTGTCTCGAGAATAAATGGTAACATCAAATGGGCTTTGAATAAAACGTCAACAACGGCGTTGATATACCTGCGTAGAAGACTGAGCCACTCGTGTTTAACAGAGCTATCCAGGAGACACATGGACGCGAATACAAGATTCGACATGAGGTAGGTGAAAAGGTTCAACAGGATCGGACCTGTGAAGGGACGTCCTGACGCGGAAGCATCGGAGTCCTCTTCAGAAGGTATGGAGGCCGAGGAAGACGCAATTTGATTGTCTTCGCGACGAATACGAAGTCCAGAAGTGGTCGCAGATGTGACAGGAGCTGCAGTAGTGTTGAGAGGATGAGGTGGAGAGGAATCAAAAAGACAGAGGTCCGTTGTAAACGGTGTTCGACAACCCGATGAGCCTGCCACGCCACCTAGGCCCATTAGCCGATGTCGTAGTTGGCAACTATAGCAATTCGTATGACCCATAAGTTGGCAATCGCACTTTGCACCATGTGTTTGAGCATATTGGTTGCTAACCATTAAGGTACTTCGGGAAGGGACAATGGTGATGAAACAGATAGCACAATTTGATCCTACTGAGCAGTCAGGAACGAATGTAGTCAAGATCAAAACATACAATAGAAATAACCGCTGAGTTTCAAACCATTTGGGCTCCTCCACGTAGGCGTAGGCATGAACTCCCGCAGAAAATGCCAAAAGTGCCGTCAGTGTGAGAATGTATATCACTGATGAAAACGACAAAGTGGAACATTTGATTTACTCATAAAGCCTCAGTAGAAGAATAGCTTAATAGCAGTGCGTACCGTAAGCACGAAAGCACATTGTTAGTCGGTGCGCCATTTCCCTGTCTACCGGGGCATAGGAAGCGACAACGAGGTACCCACGCAACTGCCACATCGATCGCATTGCCCTACTGAGGTAGATCACTTTGAGAAGGAGGCAAAGCACCAGCGGGGTTACCACCATGGCGCAGTAGGCCCAGAGAGTGCGGATTCCCACCATGCAAAGACCCGAAAGCGGTTCGCCATCAATCTAAAGTATGGAAGAGATGCAAACACTGCCAAATTATTGCTTCATGATCACTTATAGTTTTATAATGCATTTACAATGGTGAACCAACACGTGGCACCTCGCTCATTGTACTCAGTACTGACAAGGAAAGATTCGAAACTAACATCTTCATACAGAAGAATGTAATATTGGTAGCTGTCAGTTCAGCTGCTTTTCTAAGAATAGGCCGCTCCACACGCTAACATCAATACCTGTCTTAGACAGGGCAATCAAAAGTAAGGAATTGTGAGCTATTGTAGGAAGAAAAGCAGGCCATTGGACTCACTACAGAAGCAGTGAGACTGATTAGAGCAAAGACAACAGGTACAGCAAAAGCAGCGATGTGGATACAGGTGATTTGTGATCCCATTGAGCTAAAGGTAGCTCGTTGACCAACCGCCGCGTCGCCTCCGGATATTTCCAAGTGATTGGCCAGTGGGCAACCAATGGGCTTAGAGGGATAGAGGAGGTGGCAAACCAATGGTAGTGATCGATGCTCAGGGCGATCACCCTCAGCCAACTTCCATGAGGTGTTTCGACTGCAGGGTTGACGTGGCCGAGGCACTATCATGAAAAGAAAACAACTACCAAAATTTTCTTCTAGTAGGGATTTAGCCAAAATAGATAAATGCCTCCATTAAAACCAAATGGTCTAAACAAGGGAAAATCACCGATATGATCATATGCGTGTTCTTTTCGTACCATGAATGAGGATGTCTACAAGCAACAAATTTGTGCACGGATGAATTGAAAAAAGATGAACAAGATGGTCGTACAGCATTAAGGGATTTAGCTGAATCAAGGTTATGTAAGAGAAGTGCAGCGATGTCAAAGGGGAGAAATGTACGATAGGTTTACTCCACCACTTTAATCATAGGAGGATCCCAAGAAAGCAGTAATGCCCTACCTTTCTCCTCCATCTCGATTGCACTCAATCTCCTCTTTATAGCTCCCATTGTTGCAGTAGCAACAACAGGACTAGCGGGCGACACGGAGCCCTCCATGGCTTCATTCACTCCGCCCGCATCACCACTACCACCACCCCTAAGCCGCCTTTTAGGGAGTTCGCAAGAGTCAGGCGGTAATAAGAGTGAAGGCTGCTTGTACCGCCAATGTCGAAGGCGCCATACACTGCCGCCAAGGCGTCGTCGGTGAAGAGTGGGGGTAGAGACGATCGCCGCAGAACCAACGGCATCGGTATCAGCAATACGCAAAGCGGCGGCATGGAATGCAGCGAAGAGGGCATAGTCAAGAACATTGGACCACAACGCCACAGCAAGCATAGGAACGTAGACCAACATGAAGCAGATCACGCAGAGAATGGGCGACCCCGTTCTGAAAATCAAAATAGTGCTCAAGCCTATGTGTCCAGGATTGGCGAATGCGATGCTACTTATTTACAGATTGAATACAAGCGTCTTTCTTTGGAGGATCATAATCTTCATGCCTAAAACTGAAATCGGAGTAGATCCTAGTCGAAAATGACTCTAAGGATAGGTCTATGTTTAGTCAATGTCGAGCAGTCAAATAACTGGGAACGCACTGAGTTTGCGGTTCGCCGACACGCACGCTACCATCAGCACGACAGGCGACGGCATCATCCACTCCCGGTAGATGCGGCATCAGGAGGCCCAGACAACCAATGAGAAAGGCCAAGTGAATAATAGTGAGCGCTGTGTGCGGCAGCCGACGACATGATGCATGCATTGTTGACATTGGCAGCGCCATTTCACCTTCCCCATCACTGCGTCTTGGGAAGGAAGTTGAAGAGCGAATCAATCGCAGCGTGCACTGGAACAATCCAAGAAAGAAAGTGGCTATTCGAATGAACAATGGCACACACACACACATATGGGTGGCTGCCAGGCAGGTGGGTGAAATACTTCCGTTCAAAGTCGATGGTCTATTGGTCGGTGGGAGGTGGGGATGAGAAGAGTGGAGTACCAGTAAGCCTGGGCGTGTCGCTATGTCTCCGTAGTTAGATATGAAGACAAAATAAATGCATGTAGTCGTTTGGGTTTACAAGAAAAAACCCATTATTATCCCTCAAGAAAGGTTACCTAGAAGTTGTCAATGGCCATTGGACGTGAAATGTCCCTGCCAATTCGCTTCTGCCGCCTCCATCCCCTCTCCTCCTTTCTTCCCTCTAGACCATTTAAGTGCAGCAAAAGTGCATCCCAAATTTTCGCCACATGGAAAAGAAATTCGTTATTAATTTAAACTTTGTCAAGCCGTGAATCCCTTACACCTCCCTATCGTCTAACATAAGTTTTCACTTTGATTCGAGGCATTGAATTGCGGGACTTAGTAGTAAACACAAAATTTAGTCATGGGATGGGCTTAAGTGGATTCTGGCTTAGGTTCAGGTTTTCGTTGTCTGATTCTCAGTTTCGGTAGAAGAACACTGACAAGAGCCGTTGTTGTAGCCGTACCGAGCGACTTGGCTACTTGGACCGCGGCAGTAGCCACGATCCTGCACAAATATGGTGACTTCCCTCGCCTTCAGATACGCCTCGGGGCGCCACTGATACATTCGTCTCAAATGCATGAGCTGACAATGCAACCTGCACGAGAGAGTGGATTTCGAAGATAATAAAATGAATAAGAGTTGCGAAAGAAATTGTACCATTTTCTTTGCCATCCTTAGGAAACAGCAAGGAGAGTGGGGATCTAGCTTTTTGAAGGGTTGATCGGTCCACACAATAGGCGCTGACTGGAACCACTGTTCCATTAATGACGAGAGAGGCGATTTGGGGTGCAATGACTAGGCTAGACGTGGAATTCAAGACTGTACCAAGACCACCATGGACTACGCTATACCTCTGCCAAACTTTCATTTTGAATTAAGAAAATGGGTAGAACAAAAAAGGTGCATAAAGAATAAAAGGTAGATGCATGTAGGTGTATGGAAGAAGTGGAGCTCAAGTATGGCTAATAAGTGGCCTAGAGGTCACAAATTGCTTGTCCTACTTTTTCGTTCTTTCTTTTGCTACTGTTGTTTAAATCGCAACTGCCCCCCTTACTGAAGATAGACTCATAGTGCGGTCGGATTGGTTTGCTCAGAGGGATGAAGGCAATGCCTTCATTCAATTGCTTAACTCCCCAAGTTGGTGAAGACCCTGAAACCAACAAATTGGAGAGGCATCATCATAAGTCCCATGCCAAAATCCTAAATCGGCTACAGCCTTGATTAATGGCCTAACTAAGGCATAAAAAATGAGAGAAAAGACGAGCTTACTTAAAGCCTTGGGAATAAGACTGTAGATGAGAAAAAGAAGTTTTCTTGGGCAAGCATTGGACACAAGAATGCATCTTACTGCTCTCGCCAAGGCCATAAAAGCGCAACCCCTCGTTTATCAAATGCTACTCACAAAGAATAGGGCAGAGGATGGCCTAGGAAATGTTGATGATGAACTGAGCAGTAACATTACAATGCTCGAATACAATTAAAGAGGGATTTCGACTGGTTAAATCACTGAAGAGAGAAATGAATGAGTAAATTAATAATTTTAAAGTACGTGTTAAATGACCCAGCGAATTAAAGCCCTAAAGACCATTTGAATTGCACCTGCAAAAAGGCAAGACGGAAAGACATACAAGCACACAGACATTGACGAGGGTGCCAGTAATAGCGGCGGCGAAGATAAGATTTCGAGCAAGCGTGTAGTGCTCTGGTCGGTAGACAGGACTGCGACATGGAAAGGCGCATGTTGCGATGCCCTTGATCCTGACACAGCAAAAAACCATTTAACAGTCACAAGAGATACTTCAACAGCAGTAATATCCTAATCTAACTTACCAATTTCGACTGTTTGTGGTAGACAGCAGTGGTGGCTGGCATTCCGCCTTGTTGGCGTCGAATATCTTCGGACGCAACTTGTTCTATACAGTGGGGAGACAAACAACAGTGCCAAATTCCCAAATCATAATAACGTGTGAGCAAAACTGGAGGAAGGAGACGTAGAGAATCAACGAGTTGGATTGGAGAAGGCGTTCACTGCATATCATTAAACCATGTGCCAACTAACAACCCGTGCCAAACATCAAGGCTATGGAAGGCGCACTGAAATGAACTATCAAATTGCGAAAAACAACTTTTACGGTTACATGACTGGAGTTCTTGGCTGTGAGACACATAAACAAGCTGACATGTCCTAGACAGACGCACCGCATAGTTCAGGCGCAAGAGAGTAGGGTGAAGAAAATTTATAACAGCGCCTCTTCGGTGAGCCAATGCAAGGAAAACGCGACACCAAGAGAACACTGAGGGGAGGTACACATGCTAGTAACAAAAGTGATGCGAATAAAACTTCAGACCAGACGAGACAAAAGAGAGATAACAAAGAAAAGCCTTTAAACTTCATTTGAAGAAGCTGCGATAGAAGTGAAACCTGCTAACGGGAGCAAATGCAGACCAGAAGTTTGATCACTTTGCTTAAGATCAAAACAAGAAAAAAGGATTTCTTTTTAGAAGGTAGAGATCGAAAAAAAGGTTCGAGAGAGAAAAATATTGAGCCGGGCAAGAAAAGGGTAGCGTTAAATGAAGCAGCAGGGGACAACAACAGCTAAAAAAACAAACACATTCTGTTGGAAAAGTGGAATATCAGATTGCCGCCTATGAAAAGGAGCACGTGTGGAAATGCACGGATGCAAAATTGTTTTGAGGGAGTTGAAGCATCGAAAAAAGTGGCGCCAAGGTGTCCAAGGCGAAAAGTGGGGAAGAATCAGGAGGCGAGGGCAGTAGGCCATACCAACCTGCCGACAGACAGGAGCGTAGATGTCACACTGGAGGAAGCGAGGCACGACATCACCAAGCAGGCTGCGTCCACCGATTCCGTAGCCGGAAAAGAGAAGAGGACAGGCCTTCCGCACCGCCAGACACATGCCACGCTCGGGTAAGACGACCTGTGAGTACTCCACCTCCGCCGTTACCCTTTTCGCCGCCGTTGACGATGGTGTCTCTGCACTTCGACACTCGGGAACGTAGACGGTACAGAGAAATATCTACAAGCATGCTGAGAAATGCTACTAAAGGAAAGTCATTAACTCCATTCCCAGAAATTTTATAGTGGAATTGAGGAAGTGGATGAAAGTGTTGGTACGAACAAGCCGGCTGTCGACCGCTTCAAATTCTGCACAAATGTTTCCCAAGCTACACCACATCACAGCAGCTGGATTTTACCGTCTGCGTTGATAGAACTGCGGATGCATGTGTAAAAGAGACCAATTCGCATTTGGTTTGTGCCATAGCTATCGCTAAGATTGACCCCACTTCCATCCACCAAATGGTGCAATCTATTGCGACAGCGTATGTTTGCGATCAAACAAGACTATCCTGCTCGTGACACTGGGTGTATGAATGAATAGGTCCAAGGGAATTGAAAGACCCCAGGAAGTCCAACTTTCTGAGAAAAAAACCGTAATTCACATACACTGAGCCGTGATTGGTACATCAGAGTGCTAAACAAAAGGAACGGATGATCGTGTTCCACCTTACAGAGGAAACAATTCAAATGAAACGAACTGAGTGGCATCAGAGAGGAGTGAAAGTATACTAATAAGTCGTTTTCGCTAAGTTCAAGACACCGAGCTCATCCATATCACAACAGCCGGCTCGAAGTGGAACACCTACTGCAGTTGTTGATAGGAATGTACAGGCTAAAATATTCGCATGGATATTTAACCCTCTCACTGGATGAAAAGTCGACAAGTGACGGTCCAACTCGTCCGTCCAGAGTTAAAGGGATTCTTTTTCAAAAAAAAAACCCAACTCCCATGCAGGCGCATTAAAAACGAACTTGCACATTTATAAAGCGTAGAAAAAACTTCTAATAAAATTGGTCAGATAGTAACTTCTCATCTACCCAGCTCTTATAAAATCGGAGATTTCCTACCCCATCTTAAATTTGGCACTGGCAGTTATAGTCCCATATGGTCGGCCCTACCATAAACAGGGCATGACTTATCCTCACGAATGTTGGGTGTTTATCCAACGTGGATACCATTTTTATGGAGCTAAACACATGTCATCATTGGGATAAACAGACCGCCATCGACAATTAATAGATCAAAACCAAAGCAACAAGCGGAATGACATTAGGCCGACCTTTCCAAAAAAAAATAAAATAAAATAAACAAAAAAATGAGTGGAGGAAAATGAGAATCGACGAGTGTTTTACTGATTCGGAAATGTGTGGTATGGAAATAATTAATTGATGGGAAGGTACTATTCCCTATCAAGGAGAGAAAAGGCCTCTCAGTTAAAGTGGACATCGGTTGGAGAAAGTGAAGAATGACACTGTGAGGCGGACCATGATGATCCACACCGACAAAGAGAAGAGTGCGATGAGTCACAAATGATGACTGCCTGTGAAGAGTTGGATAAGGGAAGAGGAAGGGGACCATGACGATAGTAGAAGGGAGACCACCCAAGACGAGGTGACTGTGTCCAGCCAGCACAAATACACACACACACACACAGCCCACTTTCATGCACAGCACACAAAGACGGTGTGTGCACGTGTGTGCATCATTGTCAGTTGCGGCAACATCAACAACGCCAACTGTCCATTCTCCCAGGATATACCTAAAAGCAGCGTAGCAACTGTCTCCTTTCGCCTGCCTACTTGCCTGAATTTAAAAGAGAAGTGTGGAAATGCTATTTTAGGCAACATGCTCGTTCTATAATGTTGTCGCACCCATATCTTCTATCGGTAAAGAAGAAAAGAAGGGTGTTGAGTTCTTCAACCTCAATCTAACCATACACTGCATGCAAGGATGCGCCGATTACTGAGAAATGAAATGTTGGAAACAACAGATACTCGAAAAGACACCAAATGAAATGCAAATTTAAAATGGCAGATGCTAGCTATTCCTTAACAACATTCATTCCATCTTATAATGAACGAAAATTGGTTGGTACAAAGTTCATTATTGTGCAAAAGAATGGGAGGCTTAAAAGCGTGAAGGAGGTTGAGGTCTATAGCTAGTACGCTAACATACCTGACCTAAAAACAGCTTCGCAATACCAAAAAAGAGAGAGCATAACACAAAAATTAAAAATGCGACCCCCTGCCCCCACCACCGCTTCGTTATGAAAATAATGTTGCCACTTTAAAACTCCGCAAATGGAAAACCTCGAAGTGCTGTCCCAAATGACATGTCAGACATCTAGGGGTAGACAGTTTGTACACTCGGAAAAAAATGGCAGAAATTTAAAGATTTGTCAACACAAGGTACCGGAAATGGTGCTACATTCATAGGAAATTCTAACGAATGGGCAGTTATTGGTAATTGAGAGCAGAGCGGATACCAGTACCGGGAGCAAGTGCTGGCTTCCGCGCACAAATCGTGATTATAAATCTTGACAACAAAACGAAATCTGGCCGCTATTGGCACCAACTCACCCTCAAAATCACCCAGTTACCTTGAACCTTGTCATTTGTACCTACGAATTCCCATGAGGACTAACTAAAGCTTACTGTGTAACTGTTTGGAGATTTCAGACACCAAAAAATAAAAACCTTTGTTCATTTCCGAACCATGAAGATGGAACAATTGTGGTTCAGTGTCACAATTTCTAAGCCCTATTACGACGTATTGATTCTCAAAAGCGAGCCAAGGTGTGAACAGTTTGGCTGACGAATTTCAATGGATAAGCTATTTTAAAGGACAGCGTACCTGTAGTTTGACCCAGCACATGGGAATAGCCTTTAATGCGGCCCAGGTCTGAAGGTCAAAGTGGGAGACATCATCAATAATTGGACCGTCGGAGGTAAAGTCGTAAGGCAGAGGTGTTCCCAGACAGCTCTGCTTCAAGTGAATATCAATCGGTTTGCAGCGACTTGCAACAGTGACTGTACAGTTGTCTCTATCAGCAAAACCAAATAAGAACTCGTGCCAAAATAAACTGAAGAGTAGGGTGGAGAATGAGATTGACGAGTTAATGACAACAGTTGCATACAGCTCACGATGGCTTAAGCACGGAAGGAATAAGCGTTTAGAAGACTCAGTGCAATGCATTAAATAGATCGTTACTAGAAGTCGCTTTCGAATTTTAAGTCAAGACCAAGACCAAGACGTGTGATAGAACGCGGTGAAAAGGAAAAATTAACCAACAATGAAAAAGGCTGACATACATATGTTTCAAGCAACGCAAAATCCTTGGAAACAAGTAATTTCCGTTCCCACCCATAGTCTATTAAGGCGAGTTACATTTATTCGACTTCCTGTTACCCGATCAAACCCATTATCAAATGCAATGTGCCACCAATAACATTAAAAATAGGAGCTTACTGATTATGGAACCACCTATTGGCATCTAGGGTAGAGATCTCCGCATGTGATAACGAGAAAACCAGCATTATCATGAGCAATGATAATACCTATGAAATGGTGACAAAATCAAAAAAATTTAAAGAATACCCTCTCGTTGATAGAAAGAGACGGAAAATACATCCTTCTGCTTCATGAAAAACAGTTTTTGGTCAATGCCAAAATCGCACCAAGTGCGCACATTTCTGGCCTTCAAAGCGCAGACAACTAAGCCGCCACCGCGAAAAGTAAATTAAACGTATTACTGCAGTAAACTAAAAAGCAAGGTAAACCTTTAACCTTGACTTGCTCATCATACCAATTTGTTTCAAAAGCCTTATTAAATGGATTTCGATTTTCATATAGCGAAGGCTAAACGTTCGTTTCGGTTCTCGCAAATAATTACTGCCACCTGCACTAACTATTTTACGCAAAATTTTATTAGTTAGGCACAGAAACATTCATCGGTTGCGATAGCGAATGAGTTCTAAGGAAAATTCTTTTGCATTGTCGGATTACAATCGAACTTCGAACAAGATCAGAAGTTAGAGCTAGTTTACGTGTGAGATAAAACTTGTTTCAGATATTATGGTGCTATTTCTGTTGAACGCCTATTTTTACTCTGCTTAATCACATTTTACCTATTTATGATGCCATGGCAACCACTGCTTCGCATAAGCGAATAATTGCCAGGAGGTTCTCCTCAGAGCTAACAACTCATTTGTTTCCTTCGGAATAGCTCAATCTTGTATCCGCTACTCAAGTTATTATCGAGTTGTGGCCAAGCTTAGTTGTTTAGTAATCGGGATGTGTTGATTTTCTTTGAAAGGACCTTAAATTTGGATGCAACTTGAAGCATTTCCTTCGGAATATAATCGTAGTGATGACCTTGGGTGACACGCTCCAAAAGAACTGTCATAACAACTTATTGTGCAAAAATGGATGTGGGTTTTATGGAACATTAGAGAACCAGGGATATTGTTCGGCATGCTATAAACTCATTGCGGGAGAGGAGCCGCAACTAACTATAACTAATCCTGACAATTCCTCGGGTATGATCCGGATCTTTTAGGTTTAATAAACATGCGCCCAACGATATGTCGTAAAACTTACTTCTGTTAGAGTGTAATACGCCAAACAACTTCACATATTTTATGCATAACACTTTTCAGATGCTGCCAAATCAAGTTACCCGAAAACACAGAATGAATCAGATTCTGCTGCTGCTAATTCCCCCCAAAATACCGCTAGACGCAGTTTATGTAAGCAATAATCTGTCTTATTGTTATTATATGTTAGATCTTTAAATCAATAAATGAATGAAATTTCTTAATTCTACCTACTGCTTGGAGAGCTGAAATCGTGCCCTCCATCAAATAACTCACTTGGTTTTTAAACTTTTTTATTTTTGCTACGTGCGGCTGTTTTTAGTGCTAATTAATGCGTTAAAATTTCTTCACAAAGGGACATCCGTACGATACTATGGGTTCTATTCTTTGTCTGCTTTTTTCATGCTCATTCAAAGCATTGGTGTCTTGTGATCTACAGAGCGTTGAATCGTGATCGTTCATGATGCAGTCATTATTGCGATCGGAGAGCCAGCTCGGAGTCGGTTTCACAGCGCAAGCGAAGAGCCATTCACCATAGATTCCTTAGATAAGGAGTTTGAAAATTTATCACTTATGGCCACACGGAGCCCTGGTGTGCAACCTAAAAACTGTGATCATCTTAACACTATAAGTTAATTAGACGCTTGGCACTTTGGTTTGACTTACTCTTTTTTCCTCCATTTTAGCGCCTAACTCTGCGCGCTGTGGAATGTGCAACAGACGGCTGAGTATTGTAGGCAAGTGGATAGAAGCATTGTTGCACTGCTGTGGTTCTATCACTTTTATTGACTGTTTTGTCTTTCACTCTTCTTTCTGTAGAGCAAGGCATGGTGTGCGCCTGTGGTGGGACTTTCTGCACCACGCATCGCTTTGACGATCGCCATAACTGCCCCTTCGACTATCAGTCGGACGAGCGCGAACGTCTGCGCAAGGCAAACCCACCGGTATTGGGAGAAAAAGTGAAGAAAATCTAACCTTTAATGCTCCCCTAATCCACTTTCCTGCTTCGATTTTACATCTTCTGCTCTCAACTTAATTTACTTGTGATCTAAATGCCAAATAATCTTTTGTAATCTTAACTCCTAAATGCTATTATTTTAGTTATCATTTTAATGTGTTCGCTTGTCTTTTTATTTGGATTGTAAGAAGGAGGAAGGTTTGTGAAAGGAGCTGTGGGAAAAATATAACTACAAGTCATGTCTTTTATTCCTTCGGTTTCGGTTAAGTGGCTGAGAAAAAAGTGGGAGACATTTGTCATTTGCTGCCGTGGTGTTTGAGGCAAGAATAGCTTCAAAATCTGACACATCCTCCCCGTAAAGCCATAAAGGCGGTTAAGGCGACGACAATCAACTCGATCTACGCTGTGAATCATATTTTATGCAATGGATCAGTAACCAGCCACTTGGTAGTTGATCAACTGTGGGCAGTGGCTATGATTACTCCCTCACCAGCTGCTAGAGGGTACGATGGATATTAACTCCATAGGGACTCTCCCTCTTCCCTAAAATCCCTTCATAAAACCGGGATGAAAGCCTTGCCTGTCAAAGCTTCCATGCTGGATAGAGTGATTCTTATAATGGAAACTCATCTACCGTGCCTGCTGGCAATATGGTCTTCACCTCGAACAAAGAAATTTGGTGTGGACGCCTCACTTTTCCCGCCTATCTACTTAGGAGTTAAAGACTTCATCATCTGAAGGTGTCGTCAAAGGCCCTAAATTTTATCCACCTCGATACTTTACCCCTATGACAACGTAGTCCGACAAGTCACCAAGACAAGTTGATTCCACTGACCTCAGACATCGATTTCTCCACCACTTAAAACACATACGGGAAAGGCAGCTGCCCTGTGCCACCTTTGTCGCTGGTGCCCATCCGTGTGCGTTTCCCCTCGAATCAGTCGTGGCTACTCCAAACTCGAATTCAATTTTTTGCTTCTAAAAGGCTTCGCCGAATGTGCAACCATTGAGCGTACCTAACAAAGTCCTCTTGAAGGAAAGTTTACAAATGAGGCGCAAAAAATGATTGCCTTCAAAAGGAGAGCCTCTGACGGAGCTTTAGTGACACAGAAAGTGGCCCTAAAACTCACTTTTAAAGCTAAAAGTTATAGTGTAACTTAATTTCGACAATAAAACGCTCAAGGTTAGTTATATGCAATAAAAAAAAAACAGAAATTGTTTTCGACATTAAGCACTGAAGGCTACCAAATGTGCCTGAGTCTCGACGCGTTTGGAACGACGAAATAGGGTTTGGTGGTGATGAGAAACTGTTAGTTGCTTGTCATTTTGAGCATTAAAGCTCGCTTCAGTCTGCATCGATGCGCTGTTTGTCAGACAAATGTCTTTACTCGCTATCGAAGATGCTAAAAGGTGGAGAGGCTGGTTGTAATTGTGTTTCGGCCTCTTTGATGTCCTTTACTTCGACCACTCCCTATGTGTTATGCGTGTGACTTAACTTTGTGCCAATTTTAGTTTTCTTTTAGAGCGTTTTGTTTGAACTGCAAAACTTGACCTCAATGGGCGAAAATGTGTGATCTAATGGCACGGACAGTGCAATGTCAATTTGTCCCAATAATATCACAAAAGCACGCTTGAAACGGATGGCAAAACTCGTGTCATGGCATATTGATAAAAAGCTTCACATTATCTGACCCCAACATCACAATCAGGTCTAGAGAATTGCGAGCTAGCTTTGATCACATGCATTATTTGTTTCCAATCACAGATTTTCTACTGAATCCTAAATAAGTAGTATGGTCCTCGTATAGTCTACGCAAATAAGAGGATGTTTTTATGGATCTAAACATTTACCGACTATTTAAGAAAAAAAAATTTTAGCGAATGGAGAAACGCACTTAAAATCAAAATTTTTTATTCGATGAAGAACTTTTTTGTCATAATGGAGACAGATTCGACCGGTGGACTAATCCACTGCTGACATGGAGTAGAAACGCGTTTTAGACTTAAAAGAACTGCCCTAATAGTGCTTTCAATGCAAACTTTTTTTGGTTCGCTAATTTGTAGCACTGTGTTTTGTTGACAAACACAATTGGTGCATAAAATCACCGTCAAATTAATTTCACACCGGTGGAGCATTTTACATACATCTTTAGGCTTGTACTTAACAGCCCATGCAAAACAAGTTTTGACGATTGAGGCTACCCGATATGTTGACCCAATAAATGCCATTTGGCTCCTTTTACGCTGTTAAAAGGTAATTATGTTAAAGGAGAACTACCAGAAGTTTCCTTGATGCAATGAAGTAAAGTTTGACCTTATTGCGCATGATTAGAGGACTACAAAATGTTCAAACAGCAAGTCCCTCATGTAAATAATCTGACATATTACTTCATTCTTCACTGCGCACAAGTGGTGTACCATTGGGCAAGGTCATGTCATCCACTCATCGACCAGCACAGTGGACTGCTGCTACATCTTGGCATTGCTGTTGGCAGGACATGATGAATGCTTTAGAGGTACTTTTTGCGCATGAACTCTTCATTTTGCCACTGGTGCTGTTAAAAGGTAATTATTTTGAGGATAATCATCAGAATGTCTAAGCCAAGACCCACCTCAAATCTCAATCCTCTCTTCACGACCAAATGAGGTTCCTATTGCTGAAATCACAATGGCTCACTGCAGGTTTGAAGCCTCGCATCGTTAACTGTTGTAAACAACGGTTAGACTTGTAAAAGGCAATGTAGTAGGTTTCGATTGTGCTAAAAGCCCACCTTCTGCCTGGCTCCTCACAATTCAGTTGGAATCTTACAAACTTGAAGGAAAACCCTCGCAACCCCATGCAGGATCTTCGGCATTGCACATTCATCAGATGACATGACCTCCAAGTTCTTTGACTTGCCGCCTTCAGCCACAAAAGTAAATCGACTTTTTCGAAGGCATAGTGCTTCATATGAAAGAACTTCGCAAAACAATCCATTTTCTGTGCTATTAAGACCACTTTCGACTTCATAAATCAACTTTACACTTACTACTTATATTTGTTGTAAGTAGCTGCTTTCGGAAATGACGATTTTGTGGCAAACAAAAGCTGTTCATATCTGAAATAATTTCCCTCATTCACGAAATTCATATGCATTGATTCATTCTTTCCCAATTTAATCACATGCATGTGTGTGTCTTGTACGTAGGAATTGGTGCAAATGCTCTGCCACCTTGTTTTTCGCTACAAGCTTTGTGGACATGATTTACTTGGACCTGTCATTTCACCACCGATTGTATTCTTACCACACAGTTGGACCTGTGAACCTTGGCGTTAACCTAAAGTCCCAATTGTGCAGTCCAACCTTTAACACTTCAGCCCTCTTCAAAGCTTAACTGCGACCTCCTAAAGAGGCTCTACGGTCTACACGAATGAGTAGTATAAAAGCCCAGATTGGTAGACACTTTGTCGACAGGATGGCTTCTCTACAGGAGTAGAATAGTCCTTCACGTCTCATTTTGCTAGAATTTTTGTGCATTACTACATGGATTCCTAATGGTGCAACAGCAAGACTAAGGAATGAAAGGCTTGTTTCGGCAAAACGTTTTTTGTTTCGTCGAACCCAGGGAGAATTTTTTTCTTGCTACGACAATGGCTGGGAGAGGGAGGGAGGCAATAAAATACAATGCAGTTGTGGCAGCGATTTTCCTTTTGCTGATCGGATCGTAGGCGTATTGTGGTGTGGACGGCCTTCATGAGGACCTTCCGCCCCAGAGAAGGGTCGAAGGTCAATGGCGGAACCAACTTATAACCCACTGGCCAGCTGTTCCTCCATCTTTTCGACCTTTTAGGGAACCATGCTAAGCTCCGCCTCATCATTAACGATTGCAAAAACCCCATTTTAAGGCTTAAATCACGCATCCGGCCTGGATTAAAATGTGCCGACTTTACCAACTGGAGGGAGGAGGAGGCGCAAAGGCGAAACTCCTTTGTTTTTATTAGACGAGTGGATTTTAATTAACTGGGGTGTGGTATTGCCTACCTAACTCGCTTTGACAAACTCCGATGTTGTCGTCTGGACTTAACAGGTAGGTTTCGGCGGTGCCAGTAGCCTTCACACTCTCTTGTAGATAAGCTCTACATATTCTCACCTGGACTTTGTCAACGAATTTCACTTAGCAAACACGTCTTTCTTAAACTCTGATTCACAAAATGCAGAGAACAAAAGCTGTCATGTCCCTTCGCGTGACAACTTTGAGGCCAATCGTATGATCGCCGCCATTACTGGTCTCAAGGGCATTCGCTAACAGATCAGACCTTTCATCCATGTCGGTGGCTCCGTTCAATTGAAAGAGTGACTGTCTTGAGGATTCTGCATTATGGAAATGAGGGGTGGACAATCTGACGACTGTAATAATGCTGGTTGTGGACACTTCCAGCCGATCTGCGCTTTCCTTTCCCCCACAGAACGGCGAATTCCAACTGAGTAGACTTGTACTATTTGAAGTCATTTAAGTCTAAATTGGGAGTCTCTGAGTTGCCCAAAAATCATGTCCGAATGTCTCTTCGCCTTGCCTGACTTTGTGTACTCGGACGGGTTGAGTAGCCTCGCCTTCTAAAACTGTGTTTTAAACTTGCCTACCCGCTTGAAAATGTGATGACTTATGTCTTACTGTGCTATCAACGCAACTGGAGGGAAGTTGGAAGCGCCTCACCGCAATAGACGAGTAAACTGCGCAAAACAACCACGACAAAATCATATTTTGGTCATATGACAGCTGCTTTAATGCTCGACAATGAAGGCCGTGGCAAGAACCTACATGAAGGGTGGAGGGATGTTGAAAGGGCTTTGGAGAAACCTCCCTTGACGGGTATTGCAACAGCTGTGGCGTGCTACAACTTCCCACTGGGTCGGAGAAGGCGTTAAGTTGGACTGAAAACGTGTTATTAAGGTGAAGGTTTGAGAGATTGAGCTTTGGCCCCACCCGAAGGCAAGTCAATGCACATAAGAACAGGACGAAAACAAAGAAAGCCAC